CCACTTCCCGCCTCAAGACCCCAAGGGGCCAAGTTCTTCTCATCTTCGCACCTCAGTTTCCTCAGCTTAGACATCACCCCCCGCAGCAGGGTTTGGGGGCCCTCCCTGTGCCCCCGCCGCCAGTCCGGGCTGAGTACTGGGGTCGTACCGGAGCCCCACGGGCAGCTGCCGCTGCTGCCCCGCGCCGAGGGCGCTGCACGGGGAGGGGGCGGCGCGGCCCCGCGGGGACGTCCTCCCGGTACCAGGTTCGCGCCGACGCCCAGGTCAGGCAGGTTCCGAGCAGGGCACTTTGCCCTCACAGCCCCTCTTTCCCCGGAGGGAAAATACAAAAATATAAAAATGCACGCTGGAGGGTCTGGACTCTGGTGTTTTTCCTCCCTCTTCCTCGCTCTGGAAGGTTCGGCAAGCCTTCCCTCCTCTCTGAGTCCTACCTTTCTCATCTGAAAAGCAGAACTGTCTTCCTCCTAGGATTATTTTAAGGATTAAATGAAAAAAATAAAATAAAAATAAAAATAAGTAAGTACTGTGTCCAGCCCCGTGCTTAGCAAACAGTAGGCACTCAATATTCAGTCGTTTCTCTCCAGATGAGCAGCGGTGCCCCAAGAACGGAAACGGCGTCTCACCACCAGGGGGCAATGTTGCCCACTCCCAGCAGGGGCTAAGGGCTTTCTGGTGAGGCCTGGGGTCCCCGAGCCCACCATGAGGTCCCCACACAGGTGGCAGGTCCCCTCGGTCAGAGGGAACAGCAGTTCAGGGCTGCAGGGTGCTGGGAGGGGGGAATTGAGGGAAAGTGAGGCAGTACAGCATAGTGGTTCAGAGCAGGGGCTGTGGGGCCTGCCAGTCCTGAGCTCGAAAGCTGAGCCTGAACTTCCAGGGCTGTTCATCTCCTGGAGCCGTGGTGTCCTCATCTGTAAAAGTGCAACCGGTACCAGCCCGCGAGGTGGGAGTGCCACAGGGAGGCATGACCTGCGGGTCAGGATTTGGGTGTTCCTGGGTCCCATAGCCAAATTTCATCTTACTTGCCTTTAGCAGGAGGCAGGAGGCTACCTTGCAGCTGCCGAGTGACTTAACGCTCCAGTCAGGGTCACTTTGTGTGTTTCCCAGAGACCGTGTCCTGCTAGTGTGGCCCCAGACACACACCACCAGACATGCCCAGAAAGCCGGAGCATCAGGCCAGCCTGGGCAGTGGCAGACACCAAGAATGGGCAGCCCAAGAGGCTGTGAGACGGCGGGCCGAGCTGGTCAGACACTTCCATTTAATGATTAAAAACCACACACGTCTTAGGACAAGAGTCCAGGAGAGACAGACGCTCGTGCACACAGAAACCCACACACGGGAGCATGCACGGATCCCCCATAGGGGTGACATTTGCAGTTTTCAAACCTCACAGTTACTGAAGGGGCCAGAAAGTTACTTCTAGGGGTTGTTCACTCAAAGGCCGTTGTCCTCCACTGATAGCACTTTGGAGAAACCAAAGTCTTGGAAGAGAAGGCCGAGCCTACTATGGATCCCTCCCACCCACACCTGAGCCAGAGGGAAGGTTCCAGCAAAGGAATCCAGAGCCAAGGGCAACAGAAGTGTCAACAGAGAAAAAAGGAATGTAACCTCAACCCCCACAATAAACTCCCACCACAAAAGAAACCCCAGGACACCCTGCCTGTTCCTGGGCCCCACCTCTAGAGCAAACTGGCAGTAGCTCCCAGGCCTAGGCCATCGATGGGCCTCACATGGGGTGGCCTATTGAAAATACAGATGGCCAGGCCCACCTCTGGGGGTGGGGGTGGTCTGAGAAGTCTGCATTTTCAGCCCTGGATTCAGATGGTTGTTAGGTTTGGGAGTCCTGAATGGAGTCTTTCCTCTCTCTTCTCACGCTAAGGCAGGGACAGGGAGTGATGTTTTCACTGCTCTGTTATTTGAGTTGGAGGATTTTCTATCAGTCTTGACAACCCATCTCTAAATGGTTCCAATGGGCCACTTCATCCAGGAATCCAAGGGTCTAAGAAACACACACACATACACATTCTGTTCCCCACACACACACACACACACACAGGCCCACTGGGCCCAGAGATCCACATGCTCAGCAGGCTTCCAGGAAACCAGGACCTGGAGTGTATCACAATCTGGAAGGGAGGCCAAGTCCCCAGGTACAGCCATGGAGGTTCTTGGCCAATGGTCTGGTAGCAGAGGAGATGTCAGCTGCTGGTCACAAGTGGCGGGCTGCTTCCCAGAGGATCTGCAGGGCCATGGAAACGCAGGGGATCTGGGCCACAGTGTAGGCCACGGAGCGGGTGGGTGCCCGCAGCTTCCCCAGGTAGGCCACAGTGTGCACCACACGGCCCAGGAAGACGAGGAGGAAGTGCATCCGGGCGATGAAAGGGTCAGGCCCCAGGAAGGAGTAGACGAAGCCCAGGAAGAGGAAGGGGTAGATGGTTTCCATGTCGTTCCGGTGGGCTCTGGGGAGAAAAAGGGGGTGCAGTCAGCCAGGCATTAGCTTTTGGGCCATAGACCCTTCTGAGAATGTCATGGAAGCTGGGGCCCTCTGCTCTAAAAGAACCCCACCCCGCTGGGGTTCATTCATGGCCAGGATAAGGAGACACCCCAGAGTCAAGAGGGACAGCAACCCCAAGTTATGCCTGCATGCAGCTGAGAAAACAAAGCCCCTGCTAACGGGCTAGGGGTCACAAAAGGCCACAGGTTTAGGGTTTTCTTACCAAGGCCCTAGAGCTTGTCGGGACTTGGCCCCTGCCAGACTCTTCCCCGTTTTCCCCTCTGGCCCTGGGATGCCAGGCAGGAAAAGTGGGACTCAGAGGAGCTGAGCACTTTGCAGAGCTGGCAAGCAGTGGGCCTGGGATTCCAACCTCGTGCTGACCCAGCTTTGCTCTCCATTCCCAGGGCAAGGCTTTTCTGAGTCAGGCCTGAGGCCGCCCTCCTTCCAAATGCAGATCCCTGGGCCTCTCCCGGCTCCAAGGGCTGGAGCCTGAGAACATGCATATGAACTTAGTGTCTGGCTCTGTTTCATTCTCCTCCTAAATATAAGCAGCATCGTCCTTTCAGCAGGGATGATAATAACAAGGTCAGCGTCCACTCCCTGTAGCCAACCCATCGTCAGACCCTGGCCAAGCTCCTCGTTTCATGCGTGCTTTCCTGCCTCTCTTTCTGTTTAAAGTAATCAAGTGTGAGAGTGTGTGTGGTGGGGGCTGGAGCGGGGGCCTGTGTATAACCCGCCATAAATAAATGACCAAGAGAGAAAACTCATCGCTTCTGCTAAGAGTTGGTTCACATTTTCCATGACTCCTACTAATGGTCAGCTTCCGTTGCAGAGGGTGGGGAGGTCAAGTCCCATAAATTAGAGACCGAGTGAGTGAATAAAGCCGTAGATGGCCACATTGGAAGCTCAAATAAACAGGAACCCAGTGCCCTGGCCGTGACCTCCCTTAGGACAGGCCACATGTGTGAGGTGTGGGGACCATGCTAGAACAGAAGCCCCTTCTCCAGGCCTTCCAGCTGGAATGCTTTTCGCCTATGCATTAACAGTCAGGCCCAGCCTAGTAGCCCAAGCGTGGGGACCTGCTGTAGAACCCTCCTCTTTCCTCCCACTGGCAAGACGAGTCTTAAGCAAGGGCCACGGTGTGCCAGGCTGACCACAGGTCAGGGCAGGGAGGGGGGCCTGGAGGACTCAGCTACCCAACACTGTGACTGGGCTGGGGGTGGTCAGGAAAGGAGACATTGATGCTGATGCCTGAATGATGAGAAGTTTGTCATGCAGTTAAAGAACTTTCCAGGGCCGGCCCGGTGGCGCACTGCTACAGTGCGCCGCTTGGGAGCGTGGCGGCGCTCCCGCCGAGGGTTCGGATCCCACATACAGACCAGCCGCTCATTGGCTGAGCGAGGTGTGGGCGCAACACTGAGGGTTGCGATCTGTTGCCGGACATGAAAAAACAGGCCCAGCCTAGTAGCCCAAGCGTGGGGACCTGCTGTAGAACCCTCCTCTTTCCTCCCACTGGCAAGACGAGTCTTAAGCAAGGGCCACGGTGTGCCAGGCTGACCACAGGTCAGGGCAGGGAGGGGGGCCTGGAGGACTCAGCTACCCAACACTGTGACTGGGCTGGGGGTGGTCAGGAAAGGAGACATTGATGCTGATGCCTGAATGATGAGAAGTTTGTCATGCAGTTAAAGAACTTTCCAGGGCCGGCCCGGTGGCGCACTGCTACAGTGCGCCGCTTGGGAGCGTGGCGGCGCTCCCGCCGAGGGTTCGGATCCCACATACAGACCAGCCGCTCATTGGCTGAGCGAGGTGTGGGCGCAACACTGAGGGTTGCGATCCGTTGCCAGTCACGAAAAAAGACAAAAAGGAAAAAAAAAAAAAAAGAACTTTCCAGAAGAAGGACTGGCACATGCAAAGGCCCCAAGGGATAAATAAGCACAGTGTGTTCAAGGCACAGAAATGTGACCCATGTGGCTAGAGTGTGGTACACGAGAGGGAGTGAGGCAGAATAAGAGCAGGAGAGGGGTCTGGTGAAGCAGGATAAGGAGACTGGAATTCAATCTGAGAGTACAAAAACTCCCGTAAACCCAGCAGGGCCTGGATCTTTCTCAGGTCAAACTCAGGACCTGGCAGCTGGTATCTCTCTCCCCACATCCTGAGGCCAACATCAGCCTTCCTTTTCCTTTTACCCCGAATCTTCATCTTAAGACCCAGCTTCTAGGAAAGCAAGTCTGCAGCAGGGCAGGTCTCACCCACCTGCAGGGAAGACTGCTGCCCGCCCACACCAGAGACAGGCAGGCCCCAGACGGACCGGGGGATGCTGACTGCAGGGAAGGAGGGGACACCAAGGGCTGGGGCCACTCCAGCTCCCAATCAAGTGAGTCCCTTACCATATTTGGGAGTCATGAAGGAAAAGGCAACAAGTGTTCCTCCAAAATCACTCCATCCTATGGAAATGGAGCTCGTATAGCAACACGTCTCATAGGCTGATATAGAGGAACACCATTGGAAACCCCGTTTTAGATTAAGTCCGTGTGTCCCACATGTGGTCTGCCTACCACAAGACGGTGCCACCTAGATGAGTATTTTTGTAATATTCATTTATTTCAAAGTTTCAGGAAAAGCATAACTAGCGTAGGAAACCCATTCCACCAGATATATCTCCTTGAAGTATGTGTTCACATTTTACGAGTGAGTCCATTTTTAGAGAGTTGTTAAGAGAACCGGCAGACCCTGAAGAGCGGGTGACAGAAAGAAGTTGGGGACCTGCAGTGGAGAAAAGGAACAAGAAGGAAAGAAGCTCACGGCAGACGTGGGTCCTGCTCTGCTGCGCAGATCGGGGACGGGGAGAGGTTGGCCTTGCAGAAAACCGTGTCCCACTTCCTCATTCCAAGCACTGGGCAGCAACTCGGAGGTCCCTGAGTGGGAGGAAAGGTAGCCGGGAGCTGAGAAAGCCCCGAAACCCTGACCCTGAGCTCCTGGCCAGCCCTCCTTCGTGTCCCACTTCCTCATTCCAACCACTGGGCAGCAACTCGGAGGTCCCTGAGTGGGAGGAGAGGTAGCCGGGAGCTGAGAAAGCCCCGAAACCCTGACCCTGAGCTCCTGGCCAGCCCTCCTTCCCTTGTCTTGACTGTCTCAAACCACAGTGGGGCCACCACGAAGCCACGGTGGTGCCAGGGACAGGGAGCAATGGAGAAATTAGAATGATGCAAGAAAACTCAGCTCCCTCCTCCCTGCTCCAGGATCCAAGTCCAGAGACATGGAGGGAGTCACGTACCAGGGAGACGCTTGGGCAGACCATGTCATTCCAATAACAACCACTTTTTAAAGCTAAAAGTCACCCAAAGAAAATTCCCGCTAGACTGGACTTGCCTGCCCCTCGCCCTCAACAGACATTGCAACACCAGCTGCATTTTACTGCATGTAGCGCAGGGCCAGCTGCTGCCTGCTCAGCAGTGTTCTCCTGTTCCCTTCCCCAACCTGTTTGACATCCACATTGGCCACTTCCTTGAATTCAAGTTAGATACAACGCCATGGCTGCTTAGTTGTAAAGGCAGGTATACAATACAGTGAAATCGCCTTCATGCAGAGGGAGAGCCATTAGGAGCAGAGCAGACCGTTAGGAGCAGAGTGTCAGTCCCCCTGGGCTCGACCACAGCCACTGTCATTAGCCTTGGTCTTGGCAAACTTACTTCTTTCTCTATAGATAATTGCACCTGCTCTGGGTGCTTTTGGGAGGGCTGTATGAGCCATACCCGGAAAGTGCTCAGAAGACCGCCGGACTGAGCAGGTGGATCTTAAGTTAGCTGCTGTCATCGTCATCGTCGGCAGCACCATCACCAGCCCTGTCCTGGATGTGGTTGTTAAAGCTGATTTCACCCTCTTGGTTTGGCCAGACTCTCGACCACCATCCGACTCACAGTCCAAATTAATAAAGAGCATTTCATGGTGCGGTGGGAAGGGAGTGCTGGGCGGAGACTCTGGCTCTGCTGTGCTTCTGATTAGCTCCGCAGCCTCGGGCAAGCCTCTCTCCCTCTCTGGGCCTGGGTTCACTATCTACAAAATGAACCGGTTGGAGGATGTCTAAGGGACTTCTAGGACTGACATTTCAGGATCCAATTTCCTGACAAACCAGTTCGCTCAGATTAACTTTGCACACTCCAAATAGTCAAAAATATTCAAAGGCTTGGGCTGGGAGTTTGCCTTCCTTCTTTGGCACCACACGTTGCAGGTTTGTACATACAGTCTTGGGTTTTGGTCAAACACACATTGCTGGGAAATCTGGATAGGTTTCATCAGTTTCCTTTCAACGTGGATCCTGATTTCTCCCAGAGCTGGGCTCACATTTTGGCTCCAGCCTGTGCTAATCTGCAAGGCAGATTTATGCTTCAAGAACCAAGACTTAAATACTTTCCTGTGTGGACAGAAGGGCAATTCTGACTGCAGGATAAACCCTGGTCTAATATTTAACTAGCTTTTGCTTCCGGGGGGTCTCCCCCTCGGGTTCCAGCCAGTTCTCCAGTAGCAGAGAGCAGGATGTATGATTCTCTTAGCACCTCCAAGTTTCCATGATGTTCTGTGAAGTCAGGTGGTGGAGGAGGAACCCCAGGGACCCAGGCATCCCCCAAGTCTGGCATGAGTCCAGTATACAGTAGGTGCCCAATAAATCATTAGATAAGAGGTGCTCGGAAAGGTGCCAAATTGAATTTCAGCCTTTTAAACATCAGTACTATAGATGATGGGTCCTATGGTCGAGAAGCAAAAAATGCACCGTGTAGGTGGAAATGTCTCAGCACCACAGTCTGTCTCTCCCTGGCATAGTTACAGCCAGTAAAAATAAACTAAATATTTGTAAACCCATGTGGCTACTCCTGTGCCACATGTAAACTCTGCATAGAACCCCCACACCTCAAAGGAGCCAAACACATCCTCCCAGTGGCTGCGGTGAGCTGCATAGGGCCATCGACTGTCCTAGCAGCCTGCTGCCCCAAATGCTCATCACAACCTTCTCCACCACCCAGAAGAGTCAAAAGAGCCAGGGATAAGGACAGGACAAGGGTCACCAGTATAGGGACATATATGGGGGAGGCTTTTCACTAAAGTACATCTAGCGCTTAACACAGTGTCTTGCACATAGTAGGTGCTCATGAAATGATGGCTGGATGGATGACTGGACCTCAGATGAAGGATCATAGACTGTAGTTATATTAGGAAGGGTGGTATAGCTAAGAATTTCACTTCCTAAAATCACACATCTCTGTAATTTTTTAAAACCACAAGTGTGTGTATTATTTGTCAATGGCCAAGACGGCTTAACACAGTGTCTTGCACATAGTAGGTGCTCATGAAATGATGGCTGGATGGATGACTGGACCTCAGATGAATGATCATAGACTGTAGTTATATTAGGAAGGGTGGTATAGCTAAGAATTTCACTTCCTAAAAT